AGGAGACGGAAAGAGGAATAGAGAAATGCCAGTTGTGGAGGCATCAACAGGGTCTCCCAGGGTTGTTGTCAGCGACTCCTTACAATTTTATAATCACTTCATGTACATCTTAATGACCATAAAGGAGGCTGAGCACCAAAGAACTGAAGCTTTTGAATTGTGGTGCTGCAGAAAACTCTTGAGAGCCCCTTGGACTGCAAGATCATCAAACCTAAAGGAAATCACATTAGAAGGATCAATGCTAAAGGTGAAGATCCAATACTTTGGCCACTCATAGCTGACTCATTGGAAAAGACCCTGATGCTGGGCAAGATTGAGGGCAGGAGGAGAAGGGGTGACAGAGAACAAGATGGTTGGATGGCATTACTGACTCAATGGACATAAGTTTGAGCAGATTCCAGGAGATAGTGAAGGACAGGAAAGCCTGGCATGCTGCCGTCCATGGGTTCGCAGAGAGTCAGACACAAGTTAGCAACTGAACAACAAATGTACATCTGTCTTATGGCTTTTCTGTTTGCCCCAAGAAGTAAACTGTAAAATCCTTTAACTTTAAAACTATGCCTTAAACTTATTTGCACCTGAAAAGGCTTTCAAGTGTTGTTTTAAACTCCACCTACAACACTGTTTAGAAATAAAATCAATTCAGGCTCCTAGCCATCCTTTAGTTCTTGGAGAAAATCACACTGTTCAAAAAATTCTAGTTTCATGAAATGAAGAAGCAGAAGACACTAGAGTAGGGGAACAGTTGGTGATGCAAGGCCAGCCGGATGGTACTAAGAGAGACCTTAGTACAAGTGTCAAAGAAATCAGCTTTCAGAAATTAAATTTAAACCACTTGGAAATGATTTATCCGTGTATGCCACGTCCTTGCAATTCTGAAAAAGCACTAAATGATCTGGAGGTAGAGCTGGGCCATTTATAGGAGGAGACACAACTCTGCTGCGCACAGTTGTGTCTGATCCTTTATGACCCCATGGACCGGAGCCCACCAAGCTCATCTGCCCGTGGGATTTTCCAGGCACGAACACTGGAGGGGGTTGCCATTTCCTTCTCCAGGGGATCTGCCCAACCCGGGAATCAAACCCATGTCTCTTGCATCTCCTGTACTGGCAGGCACATTCTGTACTACTGAACCACCTGGGAATCCCTAGTGGGTGAGGATCCCTGTTCTTACAAATAGTTACCCTGCCTTGTGAGAACCCACACATGAGAACAAGGCTAATTCCAGCTCCTCTATGTCATGAGACTATCACCAGTTCAACAAGTCCTGGGCAGTAGTTTACTCTTGCTTACTAAATGCTTCTTTCTTCACAAATACAGCAAAGTAAAAAGTTAAACAAGATGGCAAAGTGTTTGATACACTGCCAAGAAGGGCACCAATCTTTCTCATAACTCCTCCACCATCCACAATTCAGGAGCTGCAGATCACAGACATTAACCTTACTAACCTCCTTTGCGATAAGATCTGTGTCTAAAATAAGAACAAAAGCGACAACAGTAATTGTTAAAGTGATAAATGATTAATGTGTACTGGAAGTGGGCTAAGTGATTTACATTGATTCTGGTGTTTAATTCTCATAGTGACCCTCACTGCCCTGGAGAAGGATATGGCAATCCACTCCAGTATTCTTGCCTAGGAAATCCCTTGGACAGAGGGCAGTCTGTGGGAATTGCAAGAGTTGGATATGACTTAGCAACTAAACAACAATGACAAATACTCCAATAAAGAAAGAAATTGCTTCATCACTAACTCACCATTAATAAAATACAAAGTTTTCTAAAAAACAAGAGCTCATCTCCCCCCACCCAAAAAAAAAAAAAACCAGGATAGGCTCAGAGTCATGTGTTCAAAGTTGTTAGCAAGTAAAGAGGTGAAGCACGATTCCAACCCACTCTGCTACAAATAACTGCTGAATAGCGGTGTTTACCTTTCCTTCACCAGGCCCTTCTAAGTGTGACTCTGTACTTGTTTATTAGATGAAGGTATGACTCAAAACAAGCCGTGGACTCAGGAGCCAGAATCCTTCTGTGCAGCCCTTGTTACTCACCATCTGCATGATACAGAACAAGCGCTCAGTGAGAGGGATTATTATTGAGTCTTCAAATGAGTAAGTGAAGGTCTTTACACGGGTTTGGGGTTGGCCGCAGACCATCAGAAGGCAGTCACGTCAGCTTACAGCCCGAACAAATGGCTCTGTTAAATTGCTTTAAAAAGACAAATTATCACTGATAAAAGACCATTTAGTTTTCCAAGCAAGTCCTTGAAGGGTATCATATCTAATGAATTTGGTATCATATATTAACAACATATGGAACTTCCCTGATGACTCAGATTGGTAAAGAATCTGCCTGCAATGCAGGAGACCTAGCTTCAATCCCTGGGTCAGGAAGATCCCCTGGAGAAAGGCGTGGCTACTCACTCCAATATTCTTGCCTGGAGAAGTCCGTGGACAGAGGAGCCTAGCAGGCTACAGTCTACAGGGTTGCAAAGAGTCAGACACAACTGAACGATGAACACACTATATTTGGAATCTAGACAAATGGTACAGATGATCTTATTTTCAGGGCAGGAATAGAGATGCAGACCTAGAGAACGAACTTATGGACACAGTGGGGGAAAGGGAGGGTAGCATTGACATACAGGCACTACTATGTGTGGAGCAGAGCTAGTGGGAAGCTGCTTATAGCACAGGGAGCTCAGCTTGCTGCTCTCTGATGACCTAGAGGGGTGGGATGGGGGGACGGTGGTGGGAGGGAGGTCCAGGAGGGAGGGGATATTTGTATACTTACGGCTGATTCACCTCGTTGTGCCACAGAAACCAACATGATACCGTAAAGCAATCATCCTCCAAATAAAAAATAAATTTTCAAAAAAGTTAAAAAAAAAAAAGAATTTGGAAGACTAAGAATTATTTCAGAGACTGTGAGAGAAGCAGCTTCAGATGAAGGTCACGGCAGCACTTAACAATGCCCTTGGGAGTCCACAGGAGATGGGTGGTTTCCAGGCCGTCTCCTGGGGATGAAGGTGTCTGTGCCCGGCACAACCGAGTCTGCCCCGGGAAGATGGAAGTAAAACACCTGCCTGTGTTCCATAGATGCTCAACCAGCCCTGCTCACATTTTGTTCTTACTTCACTTCCAAACACTCAAACTAAAAATATTACCTTATTGCACTGTGCCATTTAATAATCAGAGTATGAGTATATCGCTATATCACTTGTAGGATTGGGGACAGATGTTCTAAGGGAAGGGAAAGAAGGAAAAGCATCATAAATGCTTCTTTTTGCCTAAAGCCCTCCCTTGCACCTAATTTCAGGGCTTCTCTCTAGGTCTCACCAAAAGTTCCCAGGTGAAGATGAAGCAGTTTTTTGTCTTTTTGTTTTTTTTTTAAAAAGCCCCTGGGACTTCAGTGCCACATTTAGATGCAAAACGGAATTGAACACAGGGTGACTGTAAGCTGCCTTCCAGTTTTAAGGACTCAGGTGCTGATTGCTAAGGCAATTTCATTTGACCCCCACAGGAGAGCAGCCTTTGTAAGATGTTTCTTAAAGCTGTAGGTTCTCTGAACATCATGTCCAGAAGAATTTCTGGATTTCAATGTACCTCAATAGTCATATGTGCTACATTTCACTGACAAATTCTGATGCAAGAGTTACAATGAGAATTTGTGTTATTTTTTTCACCTTATAAGACAGTAGGGATGGTTCACTGACAATTAGGAAGTCAGAAGGGCTCCTGGAAGGAACCAGGAATGACTCCAGCAGCCATAAAAATGTACTCCTTGGACTATTTAAAATGTAAAAAAAAAAAAATTTAAAAAGTAAGATTTCTTTTGTTTGATGTATGTGTATTAGTTGCTCAGTCATATCTGACTCTTTGCGACGCTATGAATAGTAGCCAACCAGGCTCCTCTGTCCATGGAGTTATCCAGGCAAGAATACTGGGATGGGTTGCCATTCCCTTCTCCAGGGGATCTTCCTGACCCAGGTACTGAACCCGGGGCCTCCTGTATTGCAGGTAGATTCTTTAACATATCAAATCCAAACATTTTCTATAGTTTTAAAAAACAGAGAGACAAGTGCATCCTTGACTTGATAACATTTATTCAATATTCTTTGAAATTAGCAAGAATCAGAAGAAGCACATATCAATCAAATACAGCCACAAAAATGTCCTGGATATAAATAATGGTGCACTATGAGATATACTCACTACTGAAGGAATCGGTATGCTCTTACACTTACTACCTCTTAGCAAGGAACAACTCCAACATAAACTTAATTTACTCACAATACAAAAACCTTGACTGGTAGAGGAAAATACAGATTCAATTCGATCGCGATTTGCCTCACTATACCCTGTCATCATGTATGTTTTCAAGGCCTAGCTTGATGACTGTTACGAAAACGACAGGAAAAAAAACAAACTCAAGAGAATGTTTCCAGTTTCCGCAAGGTTCAACAAAACAGTGCAGAAATAAGTTACTTACCCATGCACAGAATAAGGCAAAGGCTAATTTCATTCAGGTTAGGAATAGTACATTTAACTAGTTTCTTTTTCACAGAACAAACATTTCAGACTTCTTTTTAAGTTAATGAGTATACTGTATTATAGTTCATACTACATGTGTTTCCTAACTCTACTCAAAAAGTCAGCACTCACACATCAAATACAAACTTGTCCTTGATTAGACTTACTCTGTAACCACTGCTGAAATCAATCTGGTTCATGAGACTATCTACTGTGGAAGGTACACACACTAGTCAAAGCCTACCGTTTAGAGAGCAGAAAGTACATGAAAACGTAGTCTACGGATTTCACAAATTCCGTTTTTAAAATATTTTTTTTTCAAACTAAAAGCTGCAGAAAATTAGTTCTTAAATAGTCTGCTGAAAACTTTTGAGCAGCTAACATCTTAAATTTCTTAAGCTTTTCCTTTTCTTAAAAATATTTAAATGAATGTAGTAGCCCATCTTTTGGAAAAATAATCCCCCCAAAAGATTACAAATCTTTTGTTTTAATCAGTGTGACCAAGGGCTTGTCATCAGGGCTGTAATCCTCATAGGCGATGGGGGTCACGTCATACATGGCAGGTCGCGATTTCTTTCCAAACCTGAAATTGCACAGAGAGAGGACTCTGGTTAGAGAAATAATGGCTTCTCAAGTCCTATTGAAGGTAAATGGTGACAATAACTTACATTCAAGAATCAAATGGAACTATAAAATACTCTAAGATATCCTCTCTCGCAAGTACAGACATTTAAGTCTTCCTGATCTTAATACTGAGTGAGTATAAACATTAGCCTTTGGCATGGGAGGCAAAAAATGGATTTCACACAAGGTAGAGTCCAAATTAATATTGAAGCTTGTAGGTTAAATCTTGGGAAAGCAGTCAGGCGTGAGGGCTCTTCAATAGGTTTTGAGAAAACGTGTATCGATTGATCTTTTTCTTCTCAGACCCAGAGCGGTTTTGAGAGGTGAGTTTATTTTACATCCACTCTGATGCCTGGAATGCGGAATGGCTGGGTGGGCTTTCCTGACAGTGCAGACTCTTCCCTGGGACTTGCAGGAGGGCTGATGAGGGCTCAGAGGCAACCTGAGGTCCCAAGACCAGGAGAAAGGGAGAGGGAGGAAATGATTTTCAATAATGAGGTGTTGGTCCAGAATCTGTGTGGGCCCCGCATCCCATCCCACCCACCTATCACTCCCCAATCCCCAAGGACACACAGGCCGTTGTTTCTTTGAGCACAAAGCCATTGTCCCAACAGATTTGTGTGTATCAAACACCCCTTGATGGCAGGTCCGATGCGCAGAAGCCCAAGAGTGTCAAAATCCAATTTCAGGACCTCCCACTAAACCAGTGTTGAAATGGCGATTATTAAAACAAAGTCAATTCAACTTCTGGGTGGTCTCTCCCATTCAGGACCTCACCTTCCTTAAAGGCCCCTAGAGGGCAATGGGATTTAAACAATCTTCCCCACTAGCCCACCAACCCTCTTCTCTTTTATAAACAGCATTTTTTTAACTGTTTCAAGTCCAATGAAGTCTATTAAAAAAGAAATTTTAAAGGAATCTCAAATTTTAAGAGGATTGCCAGGATGGGCCCCCAAGGATTTCCTGGGACTTGTTTACCATGGCTTTAAACCCATATCTCTCCACCTTTCCTGTCTCTTCTTTTTATATCTTGGAAAATCTGTCTTCTCACGTACAGAGATGAGAAGTAGAATCAAGTGGGAAGTGAGAAAACATTGCATTCTTCATATGATCATTTATTTTTAAACATTCATCCATCTTGTAATTCCAATTCACTCAAGACTTACTGACCTTTAGGAGAGCAAAGGCACAAACATGCTAGATGGTAGAGAAATGGGGACTTCCTTGGTGGTCCAGTGGCTAAGATTCCATGCTCCCAATGTGGGTTCAATCCCTGGCTAAGGAACTAGATCCCACATGCTGCCTCTAAGAGTTTGCATGCCACAATGAAGATCCCGTGTGCCACAAGGAAGACACAACACAGCCAAATAAATAAATAAATATAAAATAAACATTTTTTAAAAAAGAGTTAAAGCATTTTGCCACTAAGAAACCACAGCTCTTGGAGGCAATGTTAAAAAGGCCTCAAGAATTTCATGCCTAAAAGGTTAGCCTCACTGAAGGTCTGGAGTTGTGTGGGCATAAGTGTGGGTTGGATTCCAGCCTGAGATGTGTTTATCTAAATTGACTGAGGTCTGCACAATCTGAGAACAGGAAAGGAGCAACAATGTCAAAGCCAACTGGCCCTTAACACTTTCTCTCAAGTCTGAACATTTCAGAGGCTACTTTATGGAGCAAGCATTTTGACAAGATATTTCTCATAAAATAGCTCAATATATCGGTAACAATATACCACTAATGATATTAATCTAATTAATTTTGAAAATCAGGAAATCCCAGTGTAAAGCTCACTGTATCCAAACATGGCAGTCATGGGACAGTTTCCTGCTGGAACTCCGACAAGAGGGTCAGTGAATTATACGTTGCCTATGAATCAACTGATTGGCCAAGAGGAAACATCCGAGCAACTTAATAGGTTGAATATAGGTTTACCATATCCATTTTTGTTTTTTACGTGATTCCAGTTTGAAGAATAATCTGTTTCCTCCAAATCTATAAAATTCAATGCCTCCATGTTAGGCAATTCATCCACAAGCTATAGTTCAAAGGGCTGTGACCTTAAATTATTGTCATGGAGCTGAATACTGACAAGACAGAGTTGAGGTTGAGTGTTCTGGATCCACTGAGCATGAAGGCAGTTAAGAGCTGCTACGCATCCACTGCAGACAGGTCAAGTCAACTGAAGGACAAGAAGGCACCGCTTTGGGTCTACATGGGAAGCTCGGCTGTGTGCATCAGTGCTAATGGGGTCACGAAATATAATGCTGGTACAAGGGTAACCTGGTTAAAGTACGACTAACGCCCCAGCACCATTGGAACTGGATTCCTTGCACTGTGACCTAATTAGCTGCTGAGAAGCCTCCTAATTCCTTAGATAAGACACTGAGGCCTCCACCCAAAGCACAGTGTCTACCATATGGGGGCTAAGATGGTTTATAAAACACAGTAAAGAGAAATAGGACTCTCCTTCCGTCTCCCACACCTATCACAGTGGCGAATGCCAAACAAATGTGCATTCCTACTTGAATTTCCCATGCTAACAGCTTGGCATATTTCCTTTGTGTCTCAGAACTGGGTGGATGTTAAGGAATCAGCTAACACCTATAGAATTCCATTTTAAACTGTCAGACATTAAACCAATGTCAGAGCTTGCCTATGTTATGGCAGGAGTTTTCATGCAACTGTTCTTTTTTAAGAACAATGCACTGTTTTTCCTTATCCTAAAGAGACATGTTAATTATTTAAAAAAATTTTTAAAAGGTAGAAGCCAAAGAAAATTGTGGTGTAGGCCTAGGCTTAGCAAACTACAGTCTGCAAGCCAGTAATAGCCTGCTGCTTATTTTTTAAAATAAAGTTAAAAAAATAAAATAAAATATAGTTTTATTGGAACACAGTTGTGCCCATTCATAATGCCTCTGGTGCTTTCACAGAACAAAGACAGAGTTGGTCACAGAGACTAAATGGCCCACAAAGTCTAAGATGTTTTACAGGCCATTGATGAAGACTATAAGGATCACCCACGGTCTTCTCTCCCGAGGACTTAGCACTGTGTCTGGCCACGTTACCATTGTAAAAGCACTAACAGCAGCTGTGCAGCGTGGTATGAAGGTAACTGACACTCAAACATCTCAGTTGGTGACCAGTCCTGTGTACCTTATTTTACTAAAGAAACAAAAGACACCAAAAGCAGTGTTGAAGGAGTCAAACTATGTACATTCTTCTAGTTCATATTCCCCTGGAAATCAATAACTAGTCAACACCTTGGAGAAGAGCAGGCGGATATAGGCTTTAAAAAGGTCACATTGCGGGACTTCTCTGGCCATCCAGTGTCAAAGACTCTGAGCTCCCAATGCAGGGGGCATGGGTTCGATCCCTGGTTAGGGAACTAGATCCTCTGTGTCCCAACTAAAGATGTCACATGTCACAATTAAGACCCAATACAGCCAAATGGGGTTTCCCAGGTGGCGCTAGTGGTAAAGAACCTGCTTGCCAATGCAGGAGATGTAAGAGACACCGGTTTGATCCCTGGGTTGGGAAGATCTCCTGAAGGAGGGCATGGAAACCACTCCAGTATTCTTGCCTGGAGAAACCCATGGACAGAGGAGCCTGGTGCACTACAGTTCAAAGGGTCGCAATGAGTCAAACATGACTGAAGCGACTTAGCATGCATGCAGCCCAATAAACAAATATTTTTTTTAAAAAAAAGGCCCACATTTGAAGATGCTCTTTGGGAAACAGCGACTTTGTCCTTTCCCAGCTCTCTGCTTTGTATCCTATAATCGGTGGTCAGCCTCCGAATGTGACCTCAGATACAGAACTTGGAGAGTCATGACTTCCCCCCTGCATGTCTTTCCAGCCTGAGCATAAGCAAAGCAGCTGAGGAGCAGATGAGTCTTAGGGCAAGGTGGAGTAGGGGGCATGGCTTCTCAGCCCATCATCGGCACCAACAGACCGACTGCTGAGGTCAGAACCACCAGACACTTCCTGGGGGGAAGGGGAACGTCACCAATGACCCAGACAGTGTTCTCCTGCGCGGCTGATGAGGTGCAGTCATTCTGAGCCAAAGTCACCCCCAGCATAGTGGCAGGGAGACAGGCCATGAAATAGACACATTAGCTATAGGCTGTTGCTCAAAACTAGGAAGTGCAGAATACCAAAAGGCCTCTGTTGTCGTCAGTGCCTTTCCAGGGTTTCCAGGAAAAGGGAGCAAAAGGGCCAACCTGCCAGAGACCCAGGTAGAGCCTCTGGAGAACCAGAGCCCCTGGAGAACTCCAGGCCATAGCTAAATAAATGTTTGGACGAGAATGTTCTCAGATATATGTGGGAAGGCATTGTAATAACGTCAAAGATTTGATCTGCAGTCACTGGTGCATCCAGGAGCTTGTTGGTTAGGAATTCTGCAGTAAATATTTTTGATAAAAATCAGTACCAAATAAGAACCAGGTTTGTAAATGCTTTCAAGTTTCTCCTTTCCTTCCAAGAGTATTCAGTTAAATATCTTCCCAGTGGGCTGCACAAGCAGGAAGCCCAGAAGAATCTATCTTAACTTATTCCAGGGCTCAGATAGAATATTCTTCCTCTTGGATGCAAAAGGACCTTAGCCAGAGATTCCTTTCAGGGGAGGGGTGGGGGAGGGCATCTGATTTCCTTGGTTCTCCCAATACATCCCCATATAGAACCATGGATTCTGTTCTTTCTGAGTGAACTAAACCCTTCTGGGGAGAATTCTGAGTCACAAAAGATTTTTTCTAGTCTCTTCTTTTAGGACTTCCCAGGTGGTAAAGAACACAGCTGCCAACACAGGAGACACAAGAGATGTGCATTCAATCCCTGGGTCAGGAGGATCCCCTGGAGACGAAATGGCTACCCACTCCAGTATTCTTGCCTGGAAAATTCCAAGGACAGAGGAGCCTGGCAGACTACAGTCCATGGGGCCACAAAGAGTTGGATAAGACCAAGCAACTGAGCACAGTATCCATAGCCTCTTCTTTTTACATCTCATCCAGCAATTTCAAGATACTCCAAATACTCCTGCAGGCTGGTACCACTGACTAAGCTGGTGCCCTGGGAGGAATCTATTTCTCAGGCAGATCAAGACATCTTGTGCCAACCCCTCACCAAGAATCATCCATTCATTTGAGACCTTACATTTTAGTGAGGTCTACCACATGCCAGGACCCACTGGACATACAGTAATAAATCCCATTGCCCTTTGTGCAAGAGGAAAGATTAACTAAACAAGAAGAGATTTGCAGGGATTCATCTCAGGGTTTCCCAGAAGCTGTGTTGCTGAGTTGATTTTAAAATGGGGTCCATGACAAAGGCTGATCTGTGGAGCCTGCTGTGGAAGAGGATTGAATCCTCCTTTCTCTCTCAAAGTTATAGAAACAGGGATAGTGCTGCTCCTACAAAGAAGTTGCGTTTGGCTTTGGAACAGATGCTCTAAGTCCCCCAACTTCTCTCTTCCACCAGCTCTTTCCCCAGAACCCAGATTCTGGGTTTTGTTTCCATTGTACTCATCCTAAGACATGAGCCCTGGGTTTGGAGGTTTCCTTTTGAAGAAGGCTAACTTTCTGACTCCAGGAGTTGGTGATGGACAGAGAGGCCTGGCATGCTGCAGTCCATGGGGTCGAAAAGAGTCAGACATGACTGAGCGACTGAACTGCACTGAACTGAACCTTCTGACCCTCTGAACTTCTGTTCCATTCAGACAGAATTTGGATCTGCTTGTTCCTCGAACAATATTGGTCATAACATCCCAACAAAGATAATACAGGTAATAGATCCCTGGAGGTCCAATCTTAAGACATCAAACTCAGCCCTCTTTCTGCTATAGCACATTGACTTTCTGATTCAGGTGCTTTAGACTGTTCTACCAATTAAAGGAAAAGATGGTGTTTTTAACATTCAATATCACTATCATTTAAATATTCCTGACCAAAATCAACAAAATTAGATTAGTTGATTTTTTTCCCATGTTGTAATACACTGGAGAAGTAAATGTGGCATTATCTGTTTATACAATGCTTTACTATTTATAATTTGATTGTCATAACTCTTTAAGGAGGTAGTTCTCCCTTCCTACAGTTGAAGGAACTGTATTTATGGAAGGTTGAATCATCTACCTAAACTATAATCAAGTAATGGAGCTGTTGGGTTTAATGTCAGATGTCTGACACCCTGACTCAAGCTATTTCTATACCACACTAACTCCTGTCTCTCCAGGAATCTTTCCCCCAGGAGAAAACACTATTTTATACAATATGAACTCTAACAACAGAATGACTGCTGTGTGACTTTCTTTAACTAAATCAGATGTGATCATTTATAGTCACACTGTTTGAAGAACACAGCTAAACACATTTCAAAAAGAAACCATCAAAACCTGTTTCATACACGGTGATGAAGAGTCAAGTGTTTATAGCAGAGAAAAGCACAAATTAAACAAATGAATGTATTCAATGAAAAAAGAAAGTTAGCAGCAAATTAGAGGGGTTTGTTTATAAAGCAGTCTAATTATCTGGTCCCCCAATACTACCTTGAATCTATGTTTTATTCTTTGACATCCCCCTTGCAGATGTGAAGTCCTGGACATAATATAACCCTGGTTCCCAGCATGCCGACTCCCACCACTCACCTGGCATGCCGGATGGAGGCGATGGCGTTGCTGAACTCGCTGTCGATGCTGCGGCAGTTGTAGAACTCCTCATAAGCCGGCCGGGCAGAGCCCTGGTACTCAATGCGGCTGATGCGGCAAATCCCCACAATCAAGATGATGAGCATCAGGATGAAGGCGACACAGAGGGCGCCGATGATGATGTAGAGAGAGTGCCGAGGCATGTTGGTTAGACTCTCTGCCATGTGCCCGGACTTCCACTGGAGGTCTGAAGGCGAGAACAAGCAAACGTCTGGGTATTAGCTGGATCCTTTTGAAGGGGAAGGACTTCCCCATCCTCACATCAGGAACATAAAATGTAAGAGCTGTCCAAACTGCAAAGGATTATTTTCTATGGATAATCCAGATGGCAACCCACTCCAGTATTCTTGCCTGGGAAACCCCATGGACAGAGGAGCCTGGCGGGCTACAGGATATATATTAATATCCTTAATATATAAAGACCTCTTACAAATCCTTAAGCAAAACCAGGAACATGCCATAGAAAAATGGGTAAAGAATATAAAAAAGAATTCACCAACCGCTTGGCTTCATAATTTTTTTTAACTATGCAAGTCCTATATCAGTTCCCAAATATTATTTTAAAATTTTGATAACCACAATAGACAAGGGTGAAGAAATAGGGACTGTGTGAACTGATACACAACCCCTGTGTGGACAACATGGAGTATCCTTTGACCCAGAAATTCCAGTTTTCAGAATTTTTGCTGAAAAAATGGTCTTAAAAATGTTTAAAAGCCCTGTGTACAAAGATGTTCATCTCAGAAGCACAGTTTTCAAATGTTAGATCATCAACTATCACACGTTTAGAATATAAGTTCAGAAAATAAGCACAGACCAGGATGTATTCCTTGCTCAATGTTAATATATGTTCATACTTTATCTTCTCTGCTTTAAATGTTTATTTTTTTAAAAAAGAAATGAAATGTTACAAATAAAATCTAGTGTAACTGCTGAAACTCTAAAAAAAATGATTATTTTAGTGATTTAAAAAAATTTTTGAATGAGGCTTGAAACTTCTAATCCAATTCTGAGAATATAAAAAAAATACCATGCTGTAAAAAACAAAACAGGAGATTAACAAATGATACAGTATTATTAACTAATATATAGATTTTGTTCAAATTTCACAAAATTTATTAGTGTCCATTATTTATTTTCATCTCTTATTCAAGACTCCATGTTGCATTTAATTCCACTGAGCAACTTCAGCTGCATGCAACAAACTCTGGTAAATTCTCTTTTTATTTTTACTCTATTACAAATATTTTCTAATTTTCCTCGTGATGACTTCTTAGATACACCCAACATTTAAAAGTGGACATTTAATTTACAAATACATGGGATTCTACTTAAAGCATCTTTAATATTAATTTCTCATTTTGATACTAATTTTTCATTTAAATGCTTTCTTCTCTGCAATCACCCTCTGTACTTTTTTTCAGTCTAACTTTATTGAGGCTTTCAATGGCTAAGTAGAAGATCTCTACATCACACTGCACTTAAAAATATGTGGGTTATTTTCAAATATCTTTTGATACTGATTTCTAACATAATTCCACAGTGATAAGAGACTCTGGATGATTTCAATACCTTTAGACCATGAAATTTCTGCACCTTGTGTTATCCCTGGATATGCTTTAGTGTCTTCCAGTTTATAGTCTAGGGCTTCCCAGGTGGTGCTAGTGGTAAAGAACCTGCCTGCCAATGGAGGAGATGTAACAGACCCAGGTTTGATCTCTGGGTTGGAAAGATCCCCTGGAAGAAGAAATGGCAACCCACTCCAGTATCCTTGCCTGGAGAATCCCATGGACAGAGGAGCCTGGCAGGGTACAGCCCATAGGGTCGCAGAGAGTCGGACACGACTGAAGTTGACTTCATACACACGCAGTTTACAGTCTATGGGAACCTGAATAGAATTTGTATCCTACCGTTGTGTGAAAGCTGTATAAATCTTAATTAGGTTGAATTGGTTCACAGGGCTTTGCAGGTCTACTATGTTCTTCTACTTCTCTGTATAGTCATTCTATTAATTTTGAGAGTTTGATATTGAAACTCCAACTAAAATCTTAATTTATCTACTTAAAAAAATAATTTTAATATATAGTAGAACAATATATAACCTTGTCCTGTATTTTCCAACTCTCCTGTAAATGTGTTATCATACTTTCATAATTAAAAAAAAAATTTTAAAGATATTACAGATATAGCTAGAGTTCCTCAACCGCACATTCTCTCTCCACCCCACCAATGCAATTCATAAACACAATTCATAAACATGGAAAAATAGGAAACAACTGAAATATTCAACTCTTAGTGAGATGATTTTACTGCTGTTGTTGTTTAGTCACTAAGTCATGTCTCACTCTTTGTGACCCCATGGACTGTAAGCCCATCAGCCTCCTTTGTCCAGGGGATTTCCCGGGCAAAAATATGGGAGAGGGTTGCCACTTCCTTCTCCAAGGGACTTCCTGACCCAGGGATCGAACCCACGTCTCCTGCACTGCAGATGGATTCTTTACTGCTGAGCCACCAGAGAAGCCCTGGTGAGATGGAGAGCTACTCATCAAGTAGCAAAAGGATAAAAAAAGATTACCAAACAGAACCTAGTGGTATACTACAATCACATATGAGCTTCCAAAAGCAAAGTCGCTCAGTTGTGTCCAACTCTCTGCAATCCCATGGACTGTAGCCTACCAGGCTCCTCTGTCTGTGGAATTTTCCAGGCAAGAATACTGGAAAATCCAGTATGCCATTTCCTTCTCCAGGAGATCTTCCCAACCCAGGGATTGAATCAGAGTCTCCCGCATTATAGGCAGACGCTTTACCATCTGAGTGACCAGAGAAGTTTCAGATGAGCTTCCAAAGTCTATCTATATACTGAAAAGCTCAGGATGGAGCAATGATAATGATAAACCTATGTTATTTTCTTACTACACTAAGCTTTTTGAAAACATCTCATTTGATCAACACAACCACCAGAAAATATATCATTCTTTCTCCCCATTTCTATAGACAAAGCTTAGAAACTGACACCACTTCCCGGGTGAGAGTGTTGACTGTAACTGCAGGTCCAACTTCTTAGCCTCTGCTTCACACAGCAGGGTGCTAACAACAGTGATCTCTGAAAAGCATAATTACACGTGATTTTTACCTCCTTTATATGCCTCAGTCTTTTTCAGCTTTTTTAAAAAAAGAATATAGTCTCTTTATAATAAAAAATAAGTGATAAGTCATTTGAAGAAAATACCCATGAGATTATCTTCTTGCATAACTAGTGGACGGCGTGTGAGGTTTGGGATCACACTAACCTTGCTTTCATTGCAGTTGCAGTATTTTTGAAAATTTTTACTTATTTATTATTTTTGGTTGCACTGGGTCTTTATTGCAGGATGTGGGCTTTCTCTAGTTGCAATGAACAGGGACTACTCTCTAGCTGCCTTGTGAGGGCTTCTCACTGGAGGGCTATTCATTACAGTGGCTTCTCTTGCTGCAGAGCATGGGCTCCAGGGTGTGCGCGCTTCAATAGTTGTGACATGCAGGCCCTAGAGCTGCAGCTGGGTAGTTGTGGCTCACGTGCTTATTAATTGCTCTGAGGCATGTGTGATCTTCGGAGACTAGGGATTGAACCCATGTCTCCAGCACTGGCATGTGGATTCTTAACCACTGGACCACCAGGAAAAGTCCCCACCTGCAACACCGGCTTGACCTCCCTGAGCGTCAGTTTCTTCATTTATAAGACAACAATTATAACATATACCCTATGGACATGTTGGGAGCACACGTTAGAAAACATGTAAAGAAGAGAAAGTCCACTGCCGGGCACGTGCTGGTGGTCCCGGTGGTGGCAGACAAGGGAAGGGTACCGAGGAGGAGGATGGTGTCCTCAGGGCACACTCTGAGCTGAAGATCACTGAGCGCTGCCCTGTGCCCACTCAAAAAACACCAACCCAGACGGGTAAGAAAGAAGTAGATGGATGGGACATAGTCTCTTTGTCTGGTACAGGTCAAGAGTGTCAAATTATGTCCTATTTACAGACCTGCAAACAAATGGAATGATGCAGATACTGTGACCAGGATTTGAAAGGAAGTCACAAAGGTGAAAAGGAGCTAGGTTAAGACCAAACAGAAGCTAAACTTCCATGGGAAAGGGGTTGTCTTCTCTACTTGACCCACTCTACCACCTCCACCACCACCCTCTCCAGGCCATCACTTCCACATTAGGACTCTGGGGGTCTGGAAATCAGATTCAAGGTATGGGTGAAAATAGGTCTGTCTTCCTGTGAAAGGGAACCCCCTCTAGTATTCTTGCTTGGAAAATCGCATGGACAGAGGAGCCTGTCAGGATACAGTCCATGGGGTCGCAAAGAGTTGGACACAACTGAGCGACTTCACTTTACACTTTACTTCCTGTGAAATCCTCAGGCCTCTTTCCACTGTTCTCTTTTAGGTGAAAGTATTTGTGACCTCTGAATCCTCATACTCTCATCCCAGGGACATCTTCAGGGACACTGGAGTCTCAGAATCAGCTATTCTTTCCCTTGAAAAGTTACGACCTTCAGAAGAGCACAAGTAAACAGCCAAACAAGGATCAGAGTGTGTAGACCATTTTCCAAGAAGCCGAAACTGACCCATGCTCTGAGCCTGCGTGGTTCCTGAGAGCTTGAGAAGACTGGGGAGAATGAAGTGACTTCTGAGTTTGTGTCCAGATCGTCTGGCTCCTGAGTTTTTCACCACAGCCCTTGAAGACTGGTTTTGCCATTTGAGTCTGCCTGCCCCAAGCTCACACAGCCCGTGGAGCAAGAAGACTGCCCGTTCGTGCATTTACCGTGCTGTGTGAGCCAACTCACACACAGGCAGACAGAAAGGACATAAATCGCAGAAAATAAATGCTCGCAATGGAAGAGAGGAGGTGTTTTGTGAAACCAAGACTCGATCCCGACTGGCAGCCGTTTCATTTGGCAATACCTGGTGCACATGGAGAGAGACAAGTCATCGTTCTGGCTGAAAAGGAACATGACTCACTTGATTTCCAAGTATTTCAACATTCTCTGAAAAATTCAGTTGTAGGCTGGAGTCCAGGGCTCATGGAGTGTGCTATAACACTCACTGAGCATCATCACAAGGGCATCCAATACTGTTTCTACTCCAGCTTGGTGAAGTGCTCAGATCTGATTGCTATGGCTGCCACGAGAATTCTTGATGCAC